AGGGGTGTAGCAGGTGTCACTGGTTCTTAATGGTCAAATTTGATTGAATTTGGTTCAATCGTTTGCCATTAGTAACATTTTGAAACTTTGACCGGAACTTTGACATATGGGGTAAAGAGTTTTTTTTGTTTTGTTTAGAAGGTCCTAAGGATCATTCCTGGTAAATTTAAGCTCAACTGGGCTATTTTGAAAATTTAACCCCGATGACCCCTATGTGACCCCTGATCCCAGACTGGGGTGTAGGAGGTGTCGCCGGTTCTTAATGACAAAATTTGATTGAATTTGGTCCAATGGTTTGCCATTAGTTGCATTTCACCGTTTACATGTTTCCTCAATTACATCTATTATATTTATATGTACTTTTTTACTTGTTTGTTTACCTTGTTTGCTTTTTCTTTTCTTTATTCTTGCTTTCTTGTCAACGTCTTCTCTCATACAAATTTAAATATAAACGATAATGAATTTTTGTATCTGAGGAAAACGATTGTAATGACTCAAATTTTAATACTTCTGAATATACTTTTAATCCCTTTGTTGATAATGATGAAAGATATGATGATCAGGCTGATATGTTAATTGATCACCTTAACACCAGATCTACTACACTTGATGAATGTAAATACTATAATATAACTGAACTTAACACACTGCATGCTTCGCTAAAACAATCCAACTTATCTTTATTACATATAAACATTCGGAGTCTTGTCAACAAAATAGATGCATTTGAAAAGCTCCTAAATTCAATTCATACTAAGTTCTCAGTAATCGGGCTATCTGAGACCTGGCTAAATGATAACAAACCGTTGCCGTTTTTACACGATTATACCTTTTTCGCAAGTAATAGACAATCACACGTAGGAGGAGGGGTGGGATTATTCATTCGTAATGAATTTAATAATGTTCGTCTTCGCCCTGATCTTGCCCTCCCGAAAGAATTTGGTGATTCTATATTTATTGAAATAATACTTAATACAAAGAAAAACATAATTATTGGCACTGTATACAAACCTCCTTGTACAAACATTATTAGTTTCTCTAAACATATTGATGAATTACTAACTAAAATTAATACGGAAAATAAAATATGCCATCTTATGGGAGATTTTAATATTGATTTGCTTAAATTCCACAATCACAACATAACCAATAATTACTTAGATATTATTTTAACTCATTCATTCTATCCAACTGTTTCCAAAGCAACTCGTATTACTTCAAACACTGCAACACTAATAGACCACTTTTATACAAATGAAACTGAATCTAGTATAGTCTCTGGTGTTCTGGTTTCTGATATCACTGATCATTTGCCTATTTTCCAGTTTATTGATAATGATCTAGATAAACTAAAAACCCAGGAAAGCCTCTCCTTTGTTATTAATGATATGAATTCCTTTTGCAATAATTTATCTCAAGTTGACTGGTCCGATGTTTACAATAGTGACCCAAAACTTTCTTTTGATATCTTTCTTGACAAATTTTTTTCCGTTCATAGTAAGCATTTAAACGCTAGTCGAATAAAGAAAAACAAAATTCATAAACAAACCTGGATGAGTTCTTCACTCCTGAAATGTAGTAAACGAAAACACAAATTATATACAAAATATATTTTTTCGCAAAGTTCTAAACACAAATTAAACTACACTAAATACAATAACATCTACAATAGTCTCTGTCGTACTGCCAAATTTAATTATTATAAACGCAAATTTGATCTGGTAAAAGGCAATCTCAAACGTACATGGAATATAATAAATTCTGTTATTAATCCGAGCAAAAAGAATATTAACAAAAATTAAAGTTTTAAAAATCAACAATAACATAATTAATAATGAGAAATCTATTTGTGACTACTTTAATGATTATTTTTCCTCCATTGGCCCAGATATAAACAAATCTTTACCAGATTCTGATATTGATCCTTTACAGTTCCTACCAACGTCGCCTAATTCATTTTTTATTAAACCCTCACTGAATCTGAAGTATTAGCAGTAATTCATGATATAGATACTAACAAAGGTGCTGGCTATGACCACTTATCTCCTAGGACCCTAAAATGTGTATCTCAAATCATCATTAAACAACTAACATCTTTTTCATCTGGTACAGTTCCAAATACTTTAAAAATGGCCAGTCATTCCCGTTTTTAAGAAAGGCGACACTGATACACTATCAAATTATAGACCAATATCCATTCTACCTATCTTTTCAAAAATAGTTGAAAAACGTATGCATAAAAGACTATTTAATTATTTAAATCAATTTAACATCTTAAATGACCATCAATATGGATTTCGTCAGAATCACTCAACCTGTCATGCAATACTTGAACTCGTTAATAACATTACCAAATCATTTGAAAATAAACGATTTCTATTAAGTTTATTCTTAGATTTATCAAAAGCTTTTGATGTTGTTAACCACGAAATTTTAATTTCAAAACTTTTTAGATATGGTATTAGAGGTATTGCTTTAAATTGGTTTATAAGTTATTTGAATAATCGTAAACAATTTGTTTCTGTTGGATCATGTAAATCATCGACGAGGGATGTAACTTGTGGGGTGCCACAAGGGTCGGTCTTGGGGCCGTTACTTTTCATAATATATGTTAATGACTTGTGTAGAATTAGTGACACCCTCCAGTTGGTGTCCTTCGCCGATGATACTACGTTTTTTTTTATTCTAATGAAGACCTCAATGTTTTGTTCATTACGTTTAATAATAAGTTTTAAAAAATTGGTTCCTGGTTCAATGCAAATAAGCTCCGAATTAATATTCAAAAGACTAACTATATTTTATTTCATTCACACCATAAGAAAGTAAATTTTTCAAACTTTAGCATTATTTTAAATGAAAATCCTATAGAACGTAAATCAAATACTTCGTTTTTAGGAGTATTCATCGATGAAACTCTAAGTTGGAAATTACACCAAAATTATGTTGCAAGCAAAATATCAAAATCAATAGGCATAATAAACAGGCTTAAGTTATTCTTCCCACGCAATACTTTAATTACTCCATACAATACTCTTATTCTCCCTTATTTGCAGTATTGTAACTTAATATGGGCCTGTGACTATTCTTCGAACCTGGATAGATTACTTAAGCTACAAAAACGTGTTGTCAGAATAATTGATTTAGCTACATTTGCATCGTCTTCGGAACCTCTGTTTAAAAAACTAAATATATTAAAAACTATAGATCTAAACAAACTACAAGTTACGTGTTTTATGTTTCAATACATAAAAGGCCAACTCCCAACCTCTATATTAGCTTTATTTCATGATTATAAACCTATACACAGTTATTGCTTAAAAAATTCAAACTCACTTTACGTTCCTTTTGTAAGACTAACCAAAAGCCAATATTTTATTTCTGTATACGGACCGAAATTATGGAATGATACTCATGTTAAGTTTAAAAATTGCCATAGTATCCACACTTTTAGAAAGCAGATGAAGAAATATTATTTAGAAATGTACCAA